TTTTCTCTTCATTAGCTAGTTGTAGTCTGATTTGATGATGGCCAGAGCGCATATCTAGTTTTGTGAACCAGGCTGCTCCATTGAGTTCATCCAAGAGTTCTTCAACAACTGGGAAGGGGTACTTGTCCTTCACAGTGATGTTGTTCAGCTGCCTGTAATCCACACAAAAACACCAGCTGCCATCTTTCTTCTTCACCAAAATAACTGGGGAGGCAAAGGGGCTATGACGGGGTTTGATGATTCCATTGGTTAGCATTTCCTGGATTTGGCACTCAATTTTGTCTTTCTGGGAAGGTGAATATCTATAAGGCTTAATGTTGACAGGTTTGACACCTGGAATCAATGGAATGTGGTGATCAAACGCTCGTGTTGGTGGAAGGGAATCAGGTGCTTTGAAAAGGTGGGCATGGCTGTCAACCAGGGTCTGGATTGGTGCAGGAATGGATTCAGTGGGTGGGTTGGGTTGGGTTTGACAGAGATGAATCATTTGAGCCACTCCCCCTTTCCTGAGCAGACCCTTAAGTTTCCTGGCCTTCAGCTTGTGACAACTAGACAGTTTGTCCTTGACTCCTTTTAGACTGACTCTCTGCCCAGAATAAGTGAACCGCAACAATTTCCTCTTCAAGTGGATCCACATGGGACTAAATCTCTCCAGCCAATCCATACCTAACACCATGTCATAGTAAGGTAATTGAAGAATTCTGACATTGGTGGAGAAAGTATGACCCTGTGTCCACCAAGTGAAGTTGAGGACCTACTGCTGACTCAGAAATTTTTTTCACCATTGGCCACTGTGACATAGATAGGAGGAGTTGATGTAAGAGCACACTGTAAAGTGTCAGCAGTCTTCTCACTGATGAAAGAGCTAGAACTACCCGAGTCAATCAGGATAAGAATTTCTTGACTATTAACCAACCCAGTGATTTTGATTGTTTTCCTGCCCTGCACACCCACCGTTGCAGCTTGCGACAAGGAAAATACTTCGTCGTCGCTAGATTCATCAGAGGTTGGCTCAGATTTGATGGCCTCTGGAAAAAGTTCCATGACTTCCTCTAAGACATGTAGGGACACTTTCTCGGGGCATTTATGATTCCTGCCCCATTTCTCGCCACACTTCATGCATAAACCTTGGGCGCGGCGCTAAGCTCTGAGCGTTGTCCATTTGTCTTCCCACTTGGGTTTACCTTCTTCAGCTGGATGGGCGCCTAGAATACTAGGTGGTGCTGCTTGAGGTGGCTTGACTTGATACTTGTTGTAGTCACGATAATGGCACTTGCCAAAATGCTTGGGTTGAGATTCCAACACGTTGGCCTGCATTAGAGCCAGTGACAAAGCCACATCAACTGTTCTCGGCTTATGTAAAACAATAGTAGCTCTTATATCTGGATGCAACCCTTGGAGAAATTTGCTAACAAAGAAAACATCATCTAAATGATTGTTATGCACCAGCACTTTATGCATGACAGTTTGAAATCTATCATAATAGTCCTGAACATTAGAGGTTTGCTTAATGCTCAGTAGTTCCAGCATAGAGTTGTGATAGAGATCTTTCCCAAATTTAGACTCAATAGCAATACATAGTTCAACCCAGTTATCCACCCCATGCCGTGCTTCATAGGTTTGTAACCATAAAGCAGCATGCCCTTTGAAATGGAGGGTGCCATATTGAGCCAGCGATGCACTGGGACATTGAACATGTCAAAGTATTTTTCTACTTTTTCTTTCCAGACTTTTGGATGAGACCCATCAAATTTGGGAAACTGAGCCTTAGGCAAACGACCTTCATTGTGTGTAGGCGCAGTATGATAATGAACTGGGAAATTAGGTGTGGATGACTGACCATTGGCCAGGGGATGAGTGAGGATCAGAGTCCCCCCATCATTCCCCTGTGGTGATGTTGCAGTGTCGTGGCCCATGGCCCGCCCCTCTTCCTCGAGCTTCAGGGCCGATGGCGGAGCGTTGTTCGCTTCCAACGCCTCCACGCACGACGTGAGAGTCTTGATCTCCATGGTTAGCTCGATGGAGGAGTGATCGACCTCAGGACGCCAACGATTGAAGGACTCCATGAGTAGGAGCATGGACTTCATCTACGCACTGAGCGCGTCGAGCTTTTCCTCCGTGGTCGCCATTCGGGAGGTTAGGGTTGGTGGCTTGGGTTTGCGCGCCAGCGAGTGGGGTAACTGGGGTGGAGGTGGTGGCGGATCGACTGGAAGTTGGCAATCGATCGGAGGCGGTGCTAGCGCAGTGATTGGGGTGGGAGGAAAATGGATCGGCAGGGTGGAAAACTTGCTGGCACAGTGGAATTGGTGATGGTGGAGGTAGGGGAAGGAGGTGGTGGACGAATTGAACGGCAGCGAGGACGGATCGAGCGGCGGCGGAGATGGGGGATTCAGTGTATTGACCGCGCAACAGCTCTGGATTCAATCGTCGGCGATGGGATTTTACGAATCCAGTATCAGCGACGGATCGGAAGGCTCTGGTACCAAATGTGACGACCCTAACCGGAGAGGAGAAGTTTGCCGGCGTATACGCGCGGCGGTGAGCACGACGATGGCGTTGTCTCGAGCAAGCAACAGGAGTAGGAAGAGAGTTTGGGAATTTAGTTTATCTTCTTCGATGTCCACCCATCCTCCCACACAGCGAGTTTTAGTCAGGGTAACGAAAGAAATGGGCCAAGCCCAGTAGATACATCCTTGCGGCACGCAGGCCGACTTACAGGCCGGTACAGCTAGTGCAACCCATCTCGAAGTATAGCCGGAGGCCCGTTCGTGACAATCCCCTGCTGCAGCACTTCAAGACGAGGACGGCTGGGACGAATTTGTCAAGGAAATAGAAGATGCCATGGCAACGGCCGAAGCAGAGACAGCCGGGGGATCCACCATGACTGATGACGAGTGTGATCACTTAGGTGTGTTTGGTTCGACGAATAGGATGATCCATCATCTTCTCACTCCTCACTTTTTGTATTTGGTTCGTGGAATGGAATGAGTTGATCCATCACCACCTCATTCTCCACAAGCTGTATATGCATAAGGAATGAGTTGGTTCCACCAAAATTCATGGAATGAACTCATGATGCATAGGGTGACTCCAAAAACCAAATACACCCTTAGTATCCTGGTTGGACGACGATATGACTGCTGCAGTTGCATAACATTACACTGGCTTGATGCAGAAGCAGTATGCCTAAGATCTATCTTCGTTCTCTGAAGAAGGCTTCACCATCACATCTTATACTCTTAGGGCCTGTTCGGTTGAAGGGGAACGGCTCCCTGGAAAATATTTCAGGCTGGATTCGTTATCTAATTTGAATATGCTTCGTCAACCGGAATTATTCCTAGCTAGGTTTCAGCTAAACCGAATGAGCCCTTATTTTAGTAGCAGGATATATCTTAACACATGTAAACTTTTTTTCTTTTGTGGATGAAATCTTAATATCTTATCTGTCCTGATGAGTGTCTAACTGTGTTGTACGTGGATTTGTTTGGAGAAGAATTCTATGCCACGGTGTTATGACTGTCAATGTATATGAATTTGGAGAAGTTGATACAGTTTGCCGCTTTCAAGCCTAGGAGAAAAATAGACATTTAAGATCATTCTTAATTTTATAGATGAACAATGGAAACAATTTTAGTTTGTCCATAATCATAGTTAAACTACACACGTCCTTTAAAGAAGTATAGAAAACATCAATCTTCTATCACTATGAACCGTTCTAGTCTCCTAATTCAAGCCTAGGAGAAAAGTGTGTATTTCAGATCATTCTTAGTTAAATTATGACTAAGAATGCATATGATGTCAATCATAGTTTGTCCACAATCACAGTGAAAAGACCAGAACATGATACCATAAAGTTTTGACACCATGCATATACTTCAGCCTGAATGCCTTAGAGATAGCTGCCAATTGCTACCATGAATGTATTGTCATCAGATAGTACTTAACACAATTGATGACAAGAAAGGCAGGTTCACATGTCAACTGTACTCCTTTCTTTCAAGTTGCTCACTTGTGTACAGTAGATGCATTTTTTTAGCTTTGAATAGACAAAAAATATGTACTAACAGGAGATGATAAGTCACAGGGGAGAATAACTCACATGCTGACTTCAGTTTGATTTAAACGATCCACAAGAAGAAGAAGAAAACATCCATGCAAGTGATTATTCGCCTCAGTTTCAAGACATGTTACCAATAATAATTCTGCATGATAAAAAGTGTCATGATCTATGTACTGATAATATGCATCCACCATCTAAATTATTTGGTAGGTGATGACGATATAGGTGGTACCATGAGCCATGAGGGGTACCATAAGATCACCAGCAAATATTTTCGGTGTCAAGAAAACCGCTCTACATAGGTAGTTCAAAGAAGGATTGCTAAGAAGACACTACAATGCACTGAAACCCTATTTTCAAGAAGCAAACAGAAAGGAAAGGTTGCGGTGGTGTTTGTTATGCTAGATCCAATTACTTTGCCAAATAATCCCAGGTTCATTGATATGAAAAATATTATCCATGCTAGGGGTGAAAATGACCAGAAATGATCGAAGAAGGTTCTGTCACTTTTAATTTTCACATTTCTCTGTCGAAAACGATACGATATGGTCGAAAATGAGAACGGTGTTGAGATTCCAGTAACGTCGACGGCACTACACTATTGAAAGTATGTCGATAACAATAGGAATCCAATAAAACGATACTTCAGGAACGGTAAACATGTCAATTCGTAGGACATGACACTAGTCATACAAGTATATAACCTGCTCCATCTCATACAAATGGAATAAAGATTAAGACATAGGCATTACTTTAACCATGTCCATGACACATATGGTCACATACATTCACAATACTCTAACAAAGTAGCGTGGAACTGTTCCGACGTTATATAAAATTATCGAAGGAAGCGACCAGTTGAGAATCGTTCCCAACCAACCAAACGAGGCCTTATGCAGAAATCAACTGATTATTTATTACCAATGTAAACCAACACATATCAAGTGGCGAACTGGATCAACTTCTCCAGATTCATATACGAAGATCCCCCGTTCTCCAAAGCAGCTTTGGCTTTGGCCTTCAGCTCCCGAGCCTTGCTCCTCCTATCCTCCCCTTCGGCTCCTCCATCCATGAGTTTGTTCAGGGCCCTCTTCACCTGTTCTGTTCCCACCTCCGCCTTCGCCTCGCCTTTGACGCCGTTCAGCAAATTCTCTGTGGGCTTTGTCACGCCGACGGACACGCCGATCCCTAGCACGTCAACGATCAGCTTCTCGTTCATGAACTGCTCGGCGAAGAACGGCCAGGTGGCCATGGGCACGCCCGCAGCCACGCTCTCCAGCGTCGAGCCCCAGCCGCAGTGCGTCAGAAATCCACCGACGGCCGGGTGCTCTAGGATGGGAACCTGCGGCGCCCACCCGCGAACTACAAGACACTGTCTCGGCCCTGAGTGGCCGTCGCCGTCGGTGTTGTGCTGTAGCCACTCGTTGACGTCGTCGGGCAGAGTGTCCGCACCCTTGATGACCCAGAGCACAGGCCAAGGGCATGAGACGAGGGCCAGCCCAAGCTGCATCAGCTGCGCTGGTGGCATGCGCCCGTTGCTGCCGAAGCTGACGTAGAGGACGGACCTGGCTTTCTTGGCGTCCAGCCACGCCACGCACCGCCTCGCCTCATCCGACCCGGTGCCGGCGCGCGAGTCCGAATCGAGTAGGCTAGGTGCGCCGCACAGCCAGACGGGGCCGACGGCGAGCACGGCCTTGCCCGTGGCCACGGCGAGGCGCGCGGCCGAGTAGCGTTCCAGCTCCTCGAAGCTGTTCACGACGATGCCGTCCACGGCCATGTCGAACTCCCGGATCCCTCGAAGAATGTCATCCTTGATGTTAGTGGACTGCTGGAAAAACACCGGCAGCTGCCTCCGGGAGAACTTGACCTCGAAAGGCGGCAGGACTGGCACATCGAAGCGCTCGTCCAGCGACGCGACCGCCTCTTGCGGCCTGTGCGTGTGCAGGTACTCGAAACACAGCGAGGAAAACGCACCGTGCCCGTAGAAGATGAAGCAAGGCGCACCGAGTTCGCGCGCCATGGTGTGAGCCCACGTGTTGCACATCCCGGCGACGATGCAGTTCGGCCGACGAGGCGCCATGAGACGGCAGTGCCGCGCCACGGGCTCGCCGAACAGCTTGGTGGCGTCGAAGAATTTCTGCAGGAGGGCAACGGACGGGACGTGGTCCAGCCTCTCGCAGCCATCTGGCAGGCCCGCCTCCGCACCCGGGAACGGGATCGCGGTGACCGTGATGCCCGCTGAGGAACCTTGCCCGGCACGTTGTACACGGTCCTGTACGAGCTCCGCGCTGGCGGGCGTGGTGATAATGGTCACCGGCGCGCCGTGCGCCGCCAGGAGGCAGCCGATATCCACCGTGGCGATTACGTGGCTGGTGATTGGCGATGGGATGACAACCAGGTGAGGCTTCGGGAGCTGTGTGGTCTCCATTCCTATCGCCGTTAATTTCTCAAGACTGCAAGAACACGGTAGAGTTGTTCTGGCTTGCTGTATGGATTCCTAACTTCTAAGGGCGCGTTTAGTTCGTGCAAACTTTGTATAGTGCGCGATTCTCTATTGTAGTATTTCGTTTGTATTTGTGAATTATTGTCTAAACATTGATTAATTAGGCTCAAAAGATTCGTCTCGTAAAGTTAAAGCAAATTGGACAATTAATTTTTTATTTCGTCTACATTTAATATTTCATACTTGTACCACAAATTTGATGTGACGGAGAATTTTCTTTTTACAAAGTGCACTTTTAGAGAACTAGACAAGTCTAAGATTCGTTTGCTTCTACTAGCAGGGCTTCCAGTAGCAGCAAACTAATGGAGACAAGATTGATGGCGACATACAAATTGTAGTTTTTCCGGGCCAAATAATATAATAATCCCTTAACCTCGAAACACGCTCGGGTAACCGTAGAAAGCAATGTTTTACTATAGCAAACACTGTTTACCGTACTTCATGAATCCTGTTCGTTCACTTGGTCACTGTTCATGTCGCTCCCGTCTTTGCCGGAGCGGCGTCAGCGCGCCCACCCCGTGTTAGTATTATATTAGCTTGGAATCGTTAACTCAATGATTGGCTGGATTTATCCGAATTCCACAAAACAGAGGATAAGATTTGCATCAACATGGTTTAATATGCGCAGGTGCAGTAGCATGAAATTCGAGTGTGGGAGAGGAAAACATTAGTACTACATTAGCAGTGGTCCATTCCACCTCATCAAATTGATGGGAACATAACACCTAATGATACAACAATTGAAATAAGGTGAGTTTTTTTTCTTCTTTTTTCTATAGAAAGGACCGGAAAAACTTTGCCGCAATTTCTATTAGACGAAGAAAGAAAAGAAAAAGCAAGTGCCCATCCAATTTTTTGAATGAAAACCGGGTCAAAAACCATACAACCGAAGAGAATGTCTCACTCATCCTACAACTTTGGTACAACAACCGGACAACTTTTTCTTTATTTATATAACAATACTAGGTAGCATGCCCGTGCAATGCTACGGGACGACTAAACGTTTGTACTAAAAACACACAGATCGCACGATAAGATGACAATACTATGAAATTAAATATTGACGTTAAAGTGACATTTAATCAAAAAACAGAGTGAAATTAACACAGTCATAAAGAGCGCGGCGTCGCAGGCTCACCAACTCTACTGTATAGACCTTTCCGCACGTTGCAACAGAAACAAATAATGCCCTGATAATGAGAGCGTGATGTTCGGAATATCAATATTACAAATTGAATTTTGTGCATGGCTAAAATTCTTATTGATGATTTGCAATCATCAAGGTATGCATTTATAGTATTATACATTTATCGTATGGGTATATATATAGAATTATATGATACTATGTCACACGGGTAAAGCGCAAAAGCAATTAGGAAGCCCGGGCGCGGACAGACATTTCAAATGCCGATCGCACAATGCATGTGATCAGGACTTCATAGGTACCAACAAGCACTCTGTTCGCTTGATCGTATCGGCCATGCTTATTAGCTATGATACAGTGTTTTTCTCTCGCTTTGCTATCTCTAAAATATTTATCTATGAGAAGTTGATTTTAATTTTGTCAGCTTGCTAGATCACACACCACTAGTACCAATTTAGTCTTGCCCACCAATCCCACAAGGCATTCTTATAATATTCACGTGCCCTTTAATTACTATGCACGTGCAGAGACGGTGAGTCCTTGTGATGTACACACGCAGATGGCAAGTCCTTAGGTAACGAAAACGATTGTATGAAAATACATATCACATTGGTACTATACTAGATAGCCAGTTCTCTCTCCTGCATTTAGCCTCCTTGGAAAGAAACAAGGAGTACAGTAAAAAGTTAGCAACTTTATATCTGTCTGTGCCTCCTTGTTTCTTTACAACAATGAAAAAATTGGCAAGCTTTAGATAGAGGAACGCCTCATCCATTTGCCTCCTTGTTTCTCTGCAAAAAATGTGAAAATAGGCAAACATCAGGTTGGACAGAGAATAAGCATCAGAACAGGGGCACGAAAAAAAATATGGAGGTACTTAAATCAGGTTGGCAAGCGAAAATGATACAGGTAAATCAGGTACTTAATGTTTTATGATAATAGATAGCAAATAATAAAAAGCATAGGAGTAGTCGGTTTCAGTTTGTACAAGAATGCCAGACAGCAATTTCAGACTGAACTCATATAGGACAAGACTCCTTTATGAGACCTTGTACAAGTGCACGATGATCTTCTAAGCTACTTTCCTAACATAACTGAAATTTCAGAAAAGGGGCAGTACTATACACACGGATATTAATATAACTTTATTAGATGAATTGATGGTATATTAGTCTTTCAAGGAGCACTTTTTAGGATTGCTGAACATAGAAATAGATGCTTTTATATATCAATAGTTATAGAAGTGAATAATTTAGAAACATGTATAAATACAATTTAAGGTTATTTAAAAAATTACATCTGTTTAATGGCGCATTACGGAGAATGTGTGGCCTGCAGTTATTAGGAAGTGGAACCCAAGTGGTGTTTCTAGGAACGAGCGGTAATTAATCTCTTTCTTGGTCTTTGCATTTTTTTGAGTTGCGTCTAGTACACTGAGGGACGGAGGAGTAATTCAAACGCAAAATTTGTGGGTCACTTTAGATTATGTTTTTTATTAGCAGAAGTGAGTAATTTAGATATAAATTTAAGAGTTTCCTTTAAGTTATTTTTAACAACGGCACAATTTCTAAGGAAAAAAGTAGTCATTATTGTTAGCAATGGTAATTACTATCTTTAGAATTGGTGGCTAGATCTTTTTTATTTTTATTGAAACATATTTTTTTTTGTAGCATGTCTCGTAAGGATTAACGCTGGGAGTCATTTTGTTTGTTCCAAGGACTTGTTTGGTTTTAATTTCTGATCCTACCGTTATTTTCTTGCAGTTAGCCTTATTATCTTCAGGGTAGAGCAACTTGTGGCGCTTAGCCTTTATAAAACCAAATGAGATTTAGGATCTGATGCCTTGGACATGAGCTCTCCAGTTAACGTTTAATTGAGAGGAGGGCTCGCAAATTAGGTTTTCCGCTTGGTTTTATATGTTTCACATAGATGTGAAATCTAGTGGCTCGTCGCCCAAAAAAAAAAAATCTAGTGGCATGCAGAAAAAACGATGGACATTCCAATGGTCGAAATGGAATGAAACCAGAGGAGGAATTCTTTGTTCTTGTAGCCAAACAACTACTTTTAGGATCCGAGGCCACTAATCAGCTAAACACAGCACAAAAAGAAGTAGCAAAAAAAGAATGAACATTTTACCTTGATCCTCTTGCCAACAAAGTACCTAGGATTAACCTAAATAGGAATTCCACCTGAACAATAATAGTAATCTCATCTAAACTAGCATCCATCCACTACTCATCAGCTTAGCTACTTCCTCCGCTACTAAGTACGTCGTGAGTGGACCAAAGCCCACCGCCGCCGCCGTCACACCGGGCTCGCGGAGTCGGTCCACGAGAAAATCCCCTGGCCCGGCCCAAGCACTTGCATGGGGTCGAAGCGCGCCTTCCGGGCCACGAACCGGTCCCAGGCCGCCGCCCCGAAGTGATCGTGCCAGTGCGCCCGCGACGGCTGCCGCGCCAGGTACTGCTTGGCGCCGAGGCGCCGGCAGGCCTCGTCGGCCACCCGGCGGTGCTGCTCCAGGATGCCCTCCACGCAGGCGCGGCCGCACCGCGCCGGGTCCGTCGACCGGAGCACGCTGAAGACGTACATCACCCCGTCCGGCGACGCCGGAACCACCGCCGACGTGTTGCCGTCCCACCTGAAACGAAACATTGCAGCGCACCAAGCGAAGATCAGCACTCGGCAGGACTGACGAGCTGGCATGTGACGAGTCATAAAGGATGCTCATGATCCGACAGTGTACTGTACGCAGCATTAATGCCATTGATGCTGCTGCTAAATCTGGTCCGGCTATACGTTTTCGGTTTCGGGCGGTGGTGGCGCCCTACAACGCCTTCCTGAAATGGCAAGGAGGAGCCAGGCCGTGACAGGGTGGACGGCTGGAGGCCCCTGTGGCTCTGCCAGGTAGTGAGTGGCAGGATGTAAATTCGCTGTCTGGGAAAAGCAGAACATGTGTTCAGCGCGTGTTTAGTTGGATCCCAAATTCCAAAAAGGTTCTACAGATGTCATCGCGTGTAAATGTTTACGGCATGTCGTGGAGCGTTAAATGTAAACGAAAAAAAAAACTAATCCGGTAGGAAATTACGAGAAACGTTTTGTAATTAGTCATATTTGAACACTAATTGCCAAATAAAAGCGAGCGTGGTTTTGAACTGGGCGCTCAGCGCCTGGATCGTGAAGGGTTTTGATGGGTGCGGAGAATCTTGTTATTTTCTTTTAGAAAATAAATAGAGTAGATAATCTATTTGACCAGCAGAAAGGCAGGCCGTGCAAGCATCCTCTCTGCTAGTCTGCTGCGAGCAGAGCGGCATAGAGCCTGCGAACGTGACAGACCCATGGGGCATTGTTTAGATTCCCAAGTTTTTTCACTCTCTCTCCATCACATCAAATTTTTGGACACATACATGAAGTATTAAATGTAGATAAAAAAATAATTAATTACACAGTTTGATTGTAAATTACGAGACGAATTTTTTAAGCCTAGTTAGGCCATAATTAAACAATAATTGTCAAATACAAATAAAAGTGCTACAGTGCCAAATACTGATTTCTAACGCCCATCTAAACAAGGCCTGGGTCATGGCCCAGGCCTGGTAATCCCGAGTTCTGAACCTCACGAGCAGGAGGTGTTCATGAGTTGCTTGACACATGCTGCCCACAAGCAAACAAAACTAAAAGAAACTAGCCCTGTAGATTTATAGAAAATGTAGTTGATATTTATGACTACATATAGATACACTATAAACTATATATCACATGATAACTATTTAATAACATTAAATATACTAATTTTAGGATACATTATTTAGTTAAAAAGTTGAGATAGATTGATTTGGAAGAAAACTAAAAAATTACAGCCCTTTTTAGACGGAGGGAGCAATCACCATCATGTTACCACGGTGCTTTCTCCTAGCAAAGTCAGCCAGGAAGGGCTTGACCATTGCCGGGAAAGGATGTGAACAGTGAACACAGTTCAACACTCTAGGGTGCCACCAATGCACCATACTGGCACTGCCATTTGAGGAGACTGCACTGCACTGAATACCCTCGCGAGTCAAGGTAGCAAAGGCCAAAGGCTAGGCGACTGCTCACGGTCACAGCTCACAGCTCACGCTGTTTTATACTGCGGCAAGCAAGCGCTGCAACTTGCAAAAGGTAGCAGGCATTACTACAGAGAGATTCAGGAGACTCCCAGGCTAGGGTAGCTGTGGAGAGCCGACTCCTGTAATGATTTGTAGACAGACCAGGACAACACGGCTTGGCTTCATGGCTTGTGCATTGCAAGGTTTACAAGAAGAAAAAGACTATAGTTTCTTTTCTGAAAGGAAAAATAAAAAGGCTATGGACCTATTTGGAACACGAGAAAATTTTTCTATTCTTACGTGATTCCTGTGAAATTCTTATACGATTCCTGCCTTCTAAACCGTCCCTGTAGTTTTCACTTCAGTGTGCCTAAAGATGTGTGAGTCAGTGAGTGTGACCATTGACAAGCGACGCAAAGGTGCTGCTGTCCTGCTGGGAAAGGACACAGCGTATGAGGTGACATCTACGAGGCCCCTGTGAGTCTGTGCCTGTGAGGGAGAATCGGAGGAGAGATGCCATGGCATTGTCACAATTGGGCCAACATGTTGCGCCTGGTGTTGGCAACCCATTTCTGGGAGGATAACAACATGCCAAGCAAGAGAAAATAAGGGTAAAGTTAAAAAAACAAAACTAAGCTACTAAGCCAAAACCTTAAACCTCAAGCTAGGCTGCACTTGATGATGTGCAAACTGCCGTGTTCATAAATCACCCAGAAGAGAAAAAGGCATGCGCTTTTGTCTCATATTTTTGGAATACTTTGAGTTTCCCTGCGGGTGAAAAGGCGATCACGCCACATCGTCCAAACGGTTTTTTGCGCAGGCAAATCTTGCATACTATTGTGAAAGGGACCCTTTTAGCTACCCTCGTGGGCCGTGGCCATCAGTTTTTTTTAAAAAAAAACAATTGGTGAACCCTTTTTACTTCTTTTATGAATATACTCAATACTCCTACTATATAGTATGATGAACAACTATGATTCATGGCTAAGCCATCCTTAATAAGCCACTAGCTCATGCAAGCAACCAAACATGCCTTTTTATTAAAAAAATAAAAAATAGAGTGGATGTGGGTCTCACCTGTCAGTGAGGAGGGGGTAGACGAGGACGAGCCCCTCGAAGTCTCCCTGCGTGACGGTGTCCATGAGCAGGTCCTTGAACCGCGCGACGCCATGCCTGGGCACGAAGAGGTTGAGCCAGGGGTGCGGCACGTCCCAGAGGCCCCGGCTCCTGAGGCTCTCCTCCTCCATCCGCACCCTGTTGAGGAAATCCCAGTAGGCCACCTCCACGCTGTACGCGTGGGGCCTCAGATAGCTCAGCTTCCCCGAGACCAGGTCCACAACCTGCACGCAGAGGAAGGAAAATTCGGAGGCCACACACAAGGGCCCCGGTCGTTTCATCAGTGCTCAATAATTAACCAATGGTCCTTCTCGCGGTTACTGTTGACGACGCTAACGTGACGACGGGGCTGCTGTTACGTTGCTGAGTGAGTGGTAGGAGACTGACATGATCAGCAGCGGTGGAGTCTTGCTGTTGGAAGTCATGCACCGCGAACTCGATGCAGTAGTAGACGACCTTGCTGCTGCCGTCGTCGGAGCCGAAGTCCGGGCTGAAGTTGACCGGGGCGGGGAAGGCGACGGAGGAGCTGTGCAGGGACTGCTGGTTCAGGACCAAGAACCCCTCCACGTAGTCCACCAGCTCCGGCATTGAGACCAGGAGCTCCTGGTCCTTGGTGAACGTCTCGAAGCTGTCGTAGAAGGCCCTCACCCATCTCACCTAATCATCAGCAGGACCGCAACGCAACCATAGAAAATTAGCGGCCAAAGCTGCTTGAGTTTTGCAAAAGGCGTTGGAGATGATCGATGAACCAAGCTTTCCAGATTTCTTTTGATCTATTCCTGCTGCTACTGGAGGGCTAGCTAAGCGTGTGCATATGTGTGTACCTTGGGCGGAGCAACTTGCAGCGGAATCCTTGCCCTGGTTATGATACCGAACTGGCCAAGCCCACCAAGAACGGCGAAGAAAAGCTCCGGGCTCTGGGTGGGTGAGCATGTCACCACCTCCCCTGTGCCTGCAACCGACGGGACGACAAGCAACACATAAACAACAGCAAAGAAACAAAGGTCACTGATCACCCGTATCCTTCCTTCCTTCCTTTCTTCTTCCACTTCCACCAAAGTCCCAAAGAAAAGGGAGAGCGAGAGAGAGATGGAAAATTGAGAGAGAGAGAGAGAGAGAGAGAGAGAGAGAGAGAGAGAGAGAGAGGGAGGGAGGGAGATTAGGCGGCAGATGGCGCATGCGCGCAGCGAGGCCGTGCGTACGGCGTACCTGTGACCACCTCCAGCTGCAGCACGTTGCGGATCTGCGGGCCGTGCTTGAACGCCTGCCCGCTAATGCCGCCGTTCGACAGTGTCCCGCCCACCGTCAGGTACAGGTAGTCCGTCCACGACCGCGGTGCCAGGCCGGCCCTCAGGCACTCCTCCAGCACCTCCACCCACAGCGCGCCGCCACCCACGTCCGCGTAGGCGTCCCCACCGCCGTCCCCGTCCCCGCGCCGCACCACCTCCACGAGGCGCGGCAGGGCGCGCGTCTCCACCACAATGCCGGCGCGCGCCTGGGCCTGCCCGTGGAGCGAGTGCCCCGCGCCGCGCGCCGCCACGGCCGCCCTCGACCCCGGCCCCGCCGCCGAGGACGAGGACGACGACAGCGCGCCCAGGAGCCGCGCGATCTCGGCGGGGGACCCGGGCTGCATGACCGCGATGGGCGCCTCGGAGACCACGGCGCCGAAGTCGCGCGCCGCGGAGGGTGTCGGCTCCAGGAGCGCCACGGGGCCGAACACGTCGGAGGGGCTCTGTATGAAGTTCACCGAGGAGCAGAGCAGCAGGGCCACGATGCCGGCGTACATGTACAGCACCTTGTTGAGCTCCATGGCTACCTAGCTAGCTATAGTTTCTTGCTCTGTAACGTGTAGCTAGTAGCAGCTTGGAGAGCTCACAGGGGCATGTGCATTTGGGTTGCCGCTTGCCAAGACGGATCGGTAGAATAAGGTCGCGACGTCCCCGTCAAGATCGATCCCTGGGTTCCCACAAGAACTGTGGACGGATGGAACGGGAAGGGAGAAGCAACGAGAGGGGCCGGAGATAAGAGGGGTGACGGGGCAAAGACATGAAGCTCACCGAGGAGTGCCGTGCGTTTATATATAGCCGGTGTCGTCGCTGCCGAGGCCGGGCCCCGAGAATCTAATGGAAACCGGGGTCGCTGTACGCGGGCCCGCGCCTGCCTGCGTTTTACTCCGTACTTCGCCATCGCATTTGCATTTGGGTGGTGATCGCTGAGATCTGGCGATAAACACGAAACGTGTCTATGTTGGACGATTGCCATGCAATGATCAGTAATATATACACTGATGCAGATGGGCTCCGCCTCCGGCCCGAATTTTTTATTTTTCAGCATTTAAAAAAAATATTTATAGATAAATCTCTGGGGGTTTGATTTTCGTTTATGGACCTTGACCTCGGCGCCATGACTTTTGGCATCGAGGAAACACGTCTCGGCGCCATGACCAATGGCGCCGGGGTCTTAGCGAGGCGATGGACTTGGCGGTGACCTAACACCGACGTGGATAAGGCGCCATAGATCTTGGCACCGACCTGTTACCCTATATATATCTTGGCGTTTGAAACGAAACAAGTATAATTGTTCCAAAAATCATGTAGCAACGTCATTGCAGTCCAACTGGTTAGGACGCACGTGACTTAGCTCAAAGGCTGAATCTTTTTTTGCTACATTTTTATAAGCAATAGAACAAGAAAAAATATTTCGAGAAACATGTTATATCTCGGTTATAGTCTAGTTGGATAGGATTTTTTTTTGCTACATTTTTACTGCATTTATTAATCATTTCTTTCTTACTTAGGACCGTCGCGTTCAACGAGAACCGCGCGCCGTACTGTCCGGCAGGACGGGCACCCCGCTCCGCCCCGACGCCGACATGGACGTGTACATCTTCGCCCTGTTCAACGACAACGGGAAGGGTTCCGGGCCGGACGACATCGAGGCCAACTTCGGCCTCTTCTACCCCAACATGCAGAAGGTGTACGAGTTCGACTTCCGCGGCGGCGGCGGCAAGCCGCCGACGCCGACGGCGGAGAGCTGGTGCGTGGCGAACGCGTCGGTCGGGGACTCGTGGCTGCAGGCGGCGCTGGAGTACGCGTGCGGCCACGGCGCCGACTGCAGCGCCATCCAGCCCGGCGCGGTGTGCTTCGAGCCGGACACCAAGCTCGCGCACGCCTCGTACGCGTTCAACAGCTACTACGAGCGGAACGGCCGCGCCAATGGGACGTGCGACTTCAACGACGGCGCCGCTTACATCATCTACCAAGAACCAGCTGGTGGGTCGAGAGTTCGCCGCTTACATTTGTCGATCATGCAAATTGCAAACGTGCAAATAATGCTGATCCAGTCATCGTCTGATCACCTGGTGTTGTGAAATTGAAGGCACCTGCGACCCGAACGCGAGCTGGTGCGTGGCGAACGCGGCGGTCCTAAGTAAGCATAAAAAAGGATTAATAAATGCACAAAAAATTTAGCAAAAAAATGTAGCAAAAAAGTCCTAACCAACTAGACTACAACTGAGATTTATACTTGTTTTGTTTTAAACACCAAGATTTATAGGGTAACAGCTCGACGTTGAGATCTATGGCGCCAAGGCCTTGTCCACGTCGGCGCCAGATCACTGCCACGTCCGACGCCTCGCCAATACCTCGGCGCCATTGGCCATGGCGCTGAGACGTGTTTCCTCAGCGCGCAAAGGTTAGAGTCCATAAACGAAAATCAAACTACCAGGAATCTATTTTTGAATATTTTTTTAAAAAAGAGCTGAAAAATAAATTAAAAAATCCGGGCCTCCTGCGGAGACCAGAACCAGACTGGTATCTTCTTCGCTCATGGTAGCGAGCAGGTGCCGTCAGAGACCAGGTGACGCTTGTTCCACTGCTTCACGGCCGTGGATGATCACTATCGGCTCTATACCCACCATAAACTGCTGAAACCGAACCGACAGCGAGAAATCAACGGTGATGAACTTGTCTATTGTTGTCGGTTTTCTAGGTACGATGGTACTTCTTCTATTTCAAATTATAAGTCTATCGGGTTTATAAACTTTTGGTCCTCAATGGACCCGTTTCTCTACAATACTTGACTCAGTAGGCAACGCAACGACAACGCGTGTCTGGACCGGCCCAGATACACAATGACAGGCCGAGACCACAATCCGATCTCCAACCGTCACCTCCGGCCAGGAGAACTGGTCGGAGCCCCAATCAGAAGGCCTGGCCGTGATGGGACCGCAGTCCAACTCCGATCCTGTTCCTCCGACCGAGGATATGCCACACCTTTGCTTGTCTCTTTTTCCCGACCGACACGGTCGGGGCCGACTGGGAATGACCGACCAGGACGCCTGCTCGGTGTGGGCCCGAGGAGCAGGCAGAACAGATAAGGTAAGGCGCTCAAGTCAACCGTAATACCGAGGACCGTACCCTGCCATGCCCTGTGCACCTGCAGGACGGTGCCGTCAGGCCATGTCAGACGGATACTATACAGCCTGCCAGATGCGTCAGAGCACAAACAGTATTGTGGGCGCCGTTGTTTGCCGTCCCCAAGCGAACATCATGCGCGCACCGCCAGTCATGAACAGATAAGGTGGATTTAACACCGTGTAGCTTTGCCAGTCTGAAGAGTCATGAACGATAAAGGTGAGCGATGACGTGCCGTACCCGATGGCGTGGGCAACAAGACTAGGTAGCACTCGTACACACTCTCTCCCTTTCCGTCTTTGACTTGTAAGTCCATCCCCTTCATCTATAATTGGGGATGCGCTCTCTCCTAAAAGGACACGGCTCAATGGCTCTAGAACTCGACAGCTACACAGTCTACACGCTCTCAACAGCTGATAAGCTCAGACACACAGAGCATACGCTCCAATACTTAGCGCACGTTTGAGCATCCGTCACTCTCTTCCACTCGGATCAAAGTCCGATCGGGCCTCTAACACCCCCCTTCTCATTCCTTACTCGTTTGTAACCCCACAACAAACTTCGAGCACCTGGACTGAGCAATAAAGTCATCGACCGACTAAAACTAGAAGTAGGGCACGTTACCTGGACCAGTATAAATCATGTGTCATCGCGTGCTAGGCCACATCCGATCACAGCGCACGGCAAAACTACAAATATTTACTTGTCGGCCGCATTTCGCACCGACAGTTGGCGCCGTCCGTGGGGAAGACGCCGTGCATTCACGCTTTTGGTCATCGGATGGCCCACATTTCTACCATCTTCGGCATGGCGGGCTCGAGCGATACGATTCGCTTCGGCTCGCTAGAGTTTTCGACGCTCCCACTTGCTGGGATATGGGTTCCTCTCATCTTCGTGCCACTCTAGACCTTCCTCTTCGGGAGTCTAGACTTCATCGCCGACCAACTCGGCGTACTCCGCCTCTGCGAGGAGGCGCTTGTCCCGGCGCCCACTGGAGGATGAGCACCCTCCACCGGCCCCGGGCCACTCGACGACCTCAACGTCGAGACACCCGCGCTTTCGCCTCGAGCCCATGCTAGGCTCAAACCCCACGGTGAGTGATGTATATATTGTTCTTTACTCACTATTTAACACCTTCCGCCAGCTCTCCGGAGGGACCCCGTTGTCCCCACCGCGACCGCCATGCGATCGGTTCCCCTACGGCTTTGCGTCCCCCATGGACGCATGAGCACGGCGGCTTTGGAGGATGCTGATGCCACCCCCTCTCATGTCCGAGTTCATGGGGATGGCGGGCTACGCCCCCGCCTCCTTCCACGACCTCGTCGATGACGAGGTTGAAAGCGACGGCTCCAGCATCAGCGACGTCATGGCACCTGGCCACCCTCTATCTCGGGAGTGCGCTATGGCGGATGCCCCAGGACAGCTACCGGAGGTAGTAGAGTCTTTGTAGACTCACACCCCTCCAGACCCCCATGTGCATGCCCTGGCGCGTGAGCAGGAGCACGACGAGGAGTTACGACGAAGGTGGCAGAGCCAGCGACCACCTACGCCGGCGCGCCCGGCGCATCACTCTACGCCACATGCACGTCACCCGACGAGTGACTCTTGGGGTCATGCCCGTCAGGTCTAGCGTAACATACTAGGCGGAGGGGATGACCCCCCTCGGTTTGCTCGGGCTGGCCAAAACATCACTGATGCGGCGATACTTCTGCGCGGCCTCCCTGAGACTGTTGACCCCTAGGAACAGGCGATCCACCGGGACAACCAAGCTCTGGTGGAGACCGCCGCTGTTCAGCAGGTGGACTCCTCATCGCAACACTGGCTCAAGGCCTCTTGCCCAACCGGGGAACTGGGACCGCACCAGTTGAATCGCTCCGTCCACTCACCGCAGCAGTTGTCGGGCATGGAGCAGGAAGCCATGACTGCACCACCTGTGCGTGAGTGGCTCAGGCCAAACCGTGACGCTCGTAGTGTCATCAACAATCGGCTCCATACTTAGCATGATGATGACGTCCATCGAATGGCGACAAGAGCGGGCAGCGTGGCCCCCGGCCAAACCGAGGAGGAGTACAAGGACGCGCACCCTAGGCGTGGCGGCCGATGGAATGACCGGAGCCCCAGCCCTGATGGCCCTAGGCCATGGGCCATTGGTCACCGCATCCAGAAAATGTCGTTCCCACAGTGTTTCTGACCGCCCACCAACATCGCCATGTACACTGGGGAGACGAACCCCGGTGTATGGCTTGAGGACTTCTGGCTCGCATGGCGAGCCGATGGAGTGGATGATGACTACTTCATCATCCAGTACCTCCTCATCTGCGTGGGGGAGCATGTTCGGGCATGGCTCAAATTCCTTTCGCCCAACAGCATCCGCGACTGGGCGGACCTCAAGAGG